GATTTTGCCCTTCGGCTCTTTGATCCGTCTCTCTTCGTTTCCATCACAGTGAGGTGTCTTCTACCGTACAATCCATGCATTTGCGGCCACTCGTCAACGATCTATTGTCGTCGGACAGGCACCCTTTTTGTTCTTTATGGTTTTGTTTCTCTATCTTCCCACACATCTTGCAACATCACTCATTACTCGCAGAGTGGTCGATGCGAAGGCGAAGTAAATATGAAGTTTCGCAAACATCCGAGACCTAGAGATTCGGACGACACTTGACTGCCATCGGATCTAGATATTGCATGATCTGGACATTCTAGATCGTGCATCCAGAATCTCAACATCCAGAACGCGGACATGCAGATCGGGTTGTCGGATCAGGACATCCGGATCTGTTAGATTGGTTGTCGAACTTACAACACCATGAGCGTAAATTAAATTCTTGAAAGTAATGATTGTCCCAACGTGTGTTGGTTAAAATTATAGTTTCCTTGCCATTAATACTGACCAATCAATCTATAGTATTTTTATCAAATCCTGTATTGCATCTCTTAGGCACGTTTGATCAGGTTAGCTCCATCATCATCAAACTAACAAAAATAATATTTAATATGATCATAAAATATTGGATTTTTCATCATTAACATGTGGTGATCCGTAACTGACATTGTCATGTGCCCCAAAAAACACGAACTCTCATTTTGAAATAGAAATGGGTTAATCTCAGTACGATCCTCGTGGTGTTTTCGTTGGGTTGAGTGAGGGCCGTGGCCTAGGGAGAACATCGGCCGCCATGTACCTACGGCGGCGCGGGCGGTCTGGCGGCGGCGGAGCGGCGCTGGGCCGTCCCCGCCGAGCATCCGCCGCCTTACTCCGTGCCCCGCCGCTGACCTGCTTCCTGGGCGCCTCCCCGCTGCTCGGTGCAGTCACGCCCCAACAATACAGCGGTCGGCCCCCGACACCCCGCTCCCGGACGCCGCGGCCTTCCCACCGTACCCCGTAGAATAACGCCCGCCGCCCGAAAGCGGCGCACCTGCACTTAGTCAGAATGACCATTGCCGCTGCAATGTAGCTGCCGGGAGTTCTAGAGTTCGCAGTACCGACGATAAATAAATAAATAATAAATAAATAAATAATAAAATAAATAAATAAATAATAAATAAATAAATAAAAATAAATAAATAAATAAATAAATAAATAAAGAAATAAATAAATAATAAATAATAAAAATAAATAAAAAATAAAAATAAAGTAAATAAATAAATATAATAAATAATAAATAAATAAATAAATAATAAATAAATAAATAAATAAATAAATAAAGTAAATAAATAATAAATAAATAAATAAATAAAATAAATAAATAAATAAATAATAAGCAAATAAATAAATAAATAAATAAATAAATTAAATAAATAAATTAAATAAGCAAATAAAATAAAAGCAAATAAATAAATAAACAAATAAGCAAAATAAATAAAACAAATAGCAAATAAATAAAAAACAAATAAGGCAATATAATAAATAAACAAATAGCAATAATAAATAAACAAATAAGCAAATAAATAAATAAACAAAAAATAAATTAAGCAACATAATTAAATAAGAAAGATAACAATAAATAAACAATGCGTACAAAATAGCTCTATGTTGTCTGTTCAGAGACTTCTTTATCTACCGACCCTCCCTCGAAGAGAAAATGAAAGGGTGTGTTGGGCGTGGTGTGGTTGCAGAGGCGCCGACCATGCCTAGTATCTTCTACCCACTGTAGCACTCGTGACATAAAGCTGCTCTCACGCGGGGGACCATGCCCGGCGAAGCGCCGCAGGGGCCCGCCCGGGGCCCCGCCCACAAGCGAAACAACTCCCCGCTCGGAGGGCCTACAGGTGAGACCTCTAAAAAATCTCAGCTCTTTAAAAATTCTCACGTGACAATTTGTGAAGAAAAGAGTAATTTTTGTGCTTGAATTTACTCGCAGTTTATGAGAATATTTTTTCAACAACACTCTCATTTTGTCTTTAATTTTTGTACGGATAGAACAGGGAAGGTTACAAAAATGGTTTTGAACACTGATTTTTCAGGAAAATTACAAATTTAAATAATAACGCGGGAAAATATGGCCGTTGAGCCCCATTAGTTTACTTTCAGTTTGTCAGAAAGGTAGAGATGGTAAGTTCTTGATGTTAGATGTTTTTGGTTTTGAGAGGGATGGTTCGCCATAAGTATTTGATATCTAAAAACTTGGTCAGAATCATTTAAAAAAATTAAGGACTAGCCCTAATCGGGCTGTGTTAAGCAGCAGTACGTAGTTATGTTTTAGAAGTTACTGATCTCGATGAAGTTCTTCGAAACTGTATTGAATGAATTATTAGAATTCTACATAACCGTAATCTAAAAGTATTTAAATATGCTTTTGAGGTGCATTTGTCTCTATCAATCCCGGTGATTTTCATTGACAAAAGGACATAGTGTGCCCATCCTGTTGCACGGTTACTTCTAGGCCAATTACTGGTATGCAAAACCCAGTGTGCAGCAGTGGTAATGCAATGCTTAAGAGGCTGACTAACTGTATCTGCTACGGACATGGAATGCAAGCGGTTTTTCTTAATTATCTGAGGTTTTCACGTTAAAGAAGTTGTTTCTAGAATGCATACCCGACATGCCGATTGTTAATTAATATCAAAATAAAGTAAATGGTAAAATTAATAAGTTACCCAGAAATCAATGTATAGTGAACAAAAACATTTATTGGTAAAATCCTTAATATTATCGCCTCATTAATTATCCATTTTATCTATAATTTCTCCATTATCACTCACTCATCATATACTCTCCAGTATTATCAAAGATAGTTTTCTTATTATCGTTATTATCTTATTATCATCTTATTATTGTTGTTGTTGTTGTTAGTAAAAACTTCAGTTTGTCTCAAGCCCTTGGCTGTTTCAGTGAGTCACCGCCGCCGGAGTTGCCGCCACCGCGCCCGCTGCGCGCGAGGGGCGCCACCGTCTGCCGAGCAGGGCCCTGGGCGCGTCGCCGGCTCTTGTGGTCTCCCTGCCCTCTTCGACGGCTTCTGCCTCGGCCTCCGCGCACCGGCGCCCCCGGTGCAGTGTGCGACAGTGGGCCGCTCGGCCGAGTGAACTCACGCACTGACGTTTTAATTTCTTGCCTGAAAATATTTTTTGTTACACGAATGTTTATTTTAGACATATTAAGAAACTCGGATTATGAGAGTGTGTCTGTGCATCCGTCCTGCCTGCCCAACCGCTCGGTGCGGCTTCCCGAGGTGTGGGGTTGGTTCAAACTCAAAAATGGGGTCCGGCACAGCGGGCTCCTCGCGTTTAACGGCACCTCTCGCTGCACGACTTAGTGCCAGGGACGCTCCTAGTCACGTGCTCGGAGGTGCCCCTCGTAAGTACACGAAGGTGCACGAAGTTGCGCCCAAGTTCCCCGATTGTGCCCGACGCCACACGATTGTGCCCAAGGGTGAGCCTGATTGTGCCGGAATGAGCTTGTTTAACGCACGAGATGGCCCCGTTGCGCACGATCGGTTACGAATACTCCCTAAAAGTTCTTTACTGTGTCCTGTTGTGTGCAGCAACGTCCCTGCGGCAATCGCGTGCTCCCCGGACTTCGAGATCGTGAAGACTGCCTGAGCACCGAAGTGCGCATGTTTTCTTTAACCTCCCCAATAAGTTTTAAATAAGTGTACGTCAAAACTTGGAACAAATGTATAGTGATTGATGTGTCATTACATGAAATACATTCTTCTCTTATAAAGAGACAGTTTTCAGAATATCAATCTGAAAGATGTCGAAATTATCTGTGATAGCTGAGAATCACAAAGAACACATGGCACCCCCGAAAGAATAAATATGCATGACCATTAATACATTCCTATTTTACCCTTGAATACATTTGCTCCAAAAAATACAACGAGCTGTTTTAACTAGATTCATCCCTGTTGAATGGTAAGTATTGTTAGGTACATTTACACTACTGTAATAACAGTATTGACTTTTAGGGCTCTACAGTAACCTCTATGGAGCATTATAAATACAATATCAATACATTTGCATTACATTTTATATGTCAGGACCTACTTTATATATACATTCTTTTATTGTACAACATTTTACAACAGCAATATACAAAAGGGAACAAGACACCTGATGGAGCAAGAGGGACAGTGAAATTTAGGGGCCAATACTGAAAAATATTTCACAAGATGATAAATTCATCTCTAAGTTCAGGGAAAATCAATATAAATTTAACAAACTGCACTTAGAAATACTGGGTGATGAAGTCTTCGTTGCTCATACAGGACCCAGTGCTGTAAGTAATTCATGAGTTCAAAAGGAAATAGTTTGAACCCTATTCAAAATTTTGAACAAAAAACAAGTTTTTAGCATTGGCCACTTTTTCCCAATACGGTAGCCAAAATATTACATGAAATATTTTACCCTGTTGCTATAATCGCCTACTTATCTAACGAGTATGAAAAACGATTATTTAAGTGTTATTTTGTACAGTTTATCATATTTGCGTATATGATCAAAATTTCGCATGTTCACCTCGTGTAACAGTGACTCTACAAGCGTTCAAAATGGTCTCTTTTTTCGTGATAGTCGTCTGTGTCGCACGACTTCCGTGACGCGCATAACTTTGCAGGGTTGTACCTTTATTTCTGCCGCCACGCTTTCAATGCGCCGAAGGTCATTACGATCCTCGACTTTGGGAGCATAAACGCGGTCTTTCATTAATCCCCAGCTCCAAAAGCGAAGAGGGTGACTGGGGTACAAAATTCAGATACTGAACGTCTCGTCTCTTAAATGCTGGTGTAAGAAGTGAGGATCGAGAATAAATTCATCCACAATGCCAACCGACAAATTTACCGAGAATCACTCTTGGTGAGCTACAGTACGTGCAAGATGCGAATTTTCATTGGCCGTCATATGCAAATTCTGCACCTTAATTATACCAGCTCTTGTAAAACACGCTTCATCTGACTAAAGAACGGAATTCCTGGTTTTCTTTGCATTTGCATAGGAAATGTCTAGAGAATTAAACGACATTATACTCGTAAGTCTTCGTATTGCGCAAATGTAAATGTTCACCCGCTGGAAATGTAAAAATCGTAATTTCATGCATTGTTCGCTAGAGGAGGGATTGTGATACGTGGACCTCGCGCACTATTTGCCTTTTGCTTGTTTCCGGGGCTTCTCGGATAGTATTAGCAGTTGAGTTTTCCAGAGAACTAAACGCGAGGTGAAGCCGGTCGCTCACTTGCTGCAGCCCATGTTACACAAGCACAAGCACATACTCCAAAGTTAAACGTTAATTATTTACAAAACTAAACGACGAGTATCCAATTTGGGAAAATTCAGTCTGTACATTACATATGGGATAAAGTTCCGGTGTATTACCAATGAGGACTGAATCACCCTGTATACCCACTCTAAAAGTGTATTGGAATTTTTAATGTATATTCGTTAATTGAATCTAAATACAAGACATTTGTCTCTGAACAGAAATAACAGACGAGAAATGACATTGAGTTGCCATCTGGCCCTCTCAAGAAAATTTTTAATGAAATGTCTCAACAACATTAATTTAAAGAGCAAATGTTTATGAGAACATTTGTAAGCCCCTTTTTAATATTAATTTTAATATTCCCTCTTGACAACACCTGTAAAATGAACAATATGTTTCAGGCAATTCTCATGGCTCCTTAAAACGCATGACAAAGTTATGCTAGAAAACATTGATTAAATCACAAAATAAATTTTACGATGTACTCATAATTCATTAAGTAGTGTACAAACATGTTCTTTATGATGTTGATACTATTGATGAGTTTATTACAGTTCCTTGAAGCCAATTAAAATTAAAATTTCAATATAATCCAGCTATGCTGCAGTTATATGAAGTATACCTCAGAGTAGGTCAATAAATAATTTTTACTAAAAAAAACATGGGACATATTAAAATGTTTGAAATATTTTAAATGTCAAATATATATTTTGTACAACTTTTCAGATTTTTTAGTAATTCTTACTTAGGAAGAATGTTGAAAAATGACAGATATGGAGTGGACAGTAATGTCATGTCGTTCAGAATTCTGAATGGTAACTTGCCAAGTTAACTCACTATTAAACTCCTTGCTTATTGCCTCTTTGACACTACAATGCTTGGCTAACTTACCCCCAAGTATGCCCAGCAGACCAAACAAAATGGCTCAGGACGTAGCACGCTGACCTCACATTCGTTCAATCCCCATGCCAGCCATCTGACTGAGGTTTTCCTGGTTTCCTTCAGTCATCCAGGTAAATGCTGGGATGGTTCAACTGAAAAACCACAACCACAAACCCTTTGTCGCTAGCCACGTGAATTCATTAACTACGTGAAGTCACAAAGGTTAAGTGACTTTGAGACATCACAGGTTCTTGGTTTGGTGACTGACTAAAAACCCCAGGATCTAAGAGGATCTGAGATCGCCGGAGCCAATCGCCTTTAATAGGATATATAATGGCTAAATACAGATACAAAATGCTCAGCGGAGGCAGTTCGACTCCAAGCCTTTAATGATAGTACATCTTAATAGAAAATATTGTTAACATGTTTATCTACATTACAATAACACTCTTAAGAATAATAATTTGTGTGATATGGTTGTTAGGTCATATATTAAACATTTCTCACCTTTGCTGTGTAAGTAACAGGAACACATTGAATGGAATATGTAGATAAATGGAAAAAGTGTTGAAAAGCAAACATTTCTCTATGAAATCTCTCTCTATGATTTCTCTATAGTGTTGTAATGAGGTCATTTAAAAGTTGTTAAAAATAATTAATATTAATTATTTCACACATGACAAATACATTTCCTTTGCATTACTCTTCCCAAATTGATACTATTATCTCAAAAGTGTTGCAATGTTATTTGACATTTTTCATGAACATATTTTTAAATTACATCATTGGATCATCACTTGATTTAGTATGTTACATGACTGCATTTTTAAATTAAGGTATTCAAGTTTCAATTGAATATCTCTTATCTGCTGCTTATTCATTATATTTACTTTTGATATTAGGGTCTATACTTCACATTCAGTATAAGCTTGCATGGTTGTAAGATCCAAAAGCATACTGACAAATACTGATCATAGAATTGAAGCACATTTTGAATATTATGCACATAGAATATTATCCTGTCATTGGATCAGTATTTATTTCATATTTTGTGGTTTGAGCCATTGCTACATTGTCTACAGGTCTGTTTGAATTTCTTAAATGAGTTAAGGAATCTTTCCATGACTAGGTAAAGCATTTATATAATCATTTGCAGTTATCATCCATTGTAAGCCACAATAAATTGTGCTTGAATGTTGTATTCGTCTGATCTTGATGCATGAACTATGCAAATCTACTTTGCTAGGGGTTAGCTGCTTTATCTACTCTAGTATTCTATTATTACTTTTTTTTATTTAAATGACTTCTTACATCTCAAAACATTATATTTTTGAGAAAATAATCAGCTGGGGTTTGATTTCTTTTCAAATATTTCAATTCTAATTCTAAAATCGTGAAACTAGGCAGTAACTCTGCAAAATTTTTACAAGTCCAAAATGCCCTCCTCTATGCAAAATTTCTCTTTTAAACTTTGAACATTTCTCTTCTTTTGAATTATCTGAAAATATGTTTTATCCACTATCTCTAACAAAAATAATTCAGTTGCTATTCCTTTATGTGATAATGGTTTGTCTTTCAAGATATTGTGATATGCTGGCTGTATAATTACAAAACAATTAATGATTCATAATTAGTATTTTGTGGCCCTTGAGTATTAAGGTCATTGAGGTCGTGGTTCCTCAATTTAAAAAAGGAACTAGAAAACAATACAAATAGAAAAGTATGTATAAATATTTCTGTGAGAATCTAAAATAGGAGGCACTTTATAAATTTTTCAGTGTTAAAATACATAAAACAGAAGATGCTGAAGTTGGTCGGATCTGAAGGAGACCCTCAATAATACCTTCTCTGTGCATTCTAGGTAAATTCAGTTATTATTCTCAAATATAAACTTTATTTTAGATTATTCAAATTTTAATACCCAATAAATAAACAAAAATCATAAAAAAACATGATATCACATACTCCTGTCAATGGAAACAAGGAACCAGTTAAATGGAGCCAGAAGTTGAAATGATGCCGCTGGGAGTTCTAGTGTTAAAATACTTCATTTACACCAAATAATTTTTTTTATCAGATCTTCACCAATAGCATGACAAGAAACACATACATTTGCAAAATGCTGGCACTAGTTTCCATGACTTCTATTGAATGTCTTGTACTATTTATTTTGAAACAAATTGCTAATGCACTTGATATACAAGCATCTCTGATAGAACAAGTTCAATAAATGTTTCTTCTAAAATTCTGGAATGCATCTTGTATATAGCTGACAACAAAGAATAATAAGTTTCTGAATACAAGTTTATTTATAAGCTAAAAATAATAGAAAGAAAATGTTTTATTGTTCCTGTGATGATTTCAATTATTTCTTTGAGTTGATTCCTTAATTCCAGTTGCTTTGCACTTAAAAACAAATTTGTTATGATTTACTTCTGTTGTATTGATTTAATACATTAAAAATTGGATTCATAGGCTTCTGCAACCAGAGGCATTTGATACTGGCTGTCTTTGTTGAGTTGCATCCCAATTGGTTAAGCTGACATTTTGGTCATCATGTTGTGTCCTTCTTCTGACCCCTACTGTAGCAGTACAGCTCAGAAAGAGGCCACAACATGATTGCCGAAATACCAGCTCACAACCGACTGTTATGTGCTCATCCCAGACAGCCAAGTGTCAGATTAAGAAT